AGGGGTGTAGGAAGGGGGTAGGAGGAGAGGGGGCTAAGAAGAGGAGGAGGAAGGGGACAAGAGAGACATGAGATATAAATATTATCTCAGTCTGTGTGTGTGTGTGTGTGCGTGCGTCCGTGCGTACATTTATGCATGTGTGTGCGTATACGAGTTCACGTCTTTATGCACGTGACTTCATGCATATGTATGGACTGTATTTATATTCTCGCGCGCGCGCGCGCGTGTGTGTATGAGTGTGTGTGTATGTATGAGTGTGTGTGTGTGTGTATGTGTGTGCGTGTGTGTGTGTCTAAATGTAAGTATTTGTTTGTTTGGTTGCGTGAGAGTGTAAGCACAGAATAACATCTTGTATGTTGTGTTAGGAACAGCTGCTCGACGAAGAAAACGCCCACATAATTCCTTACCGCCCCCCCCCCCATTCTCTCTCTCTCTCTCTTTCTCTCTGTTTCTCCATCTCCCTCTCCCTCTACCTCTCCCTCTCTCTCTTTCTCTGTGTCTCTCTTCCCCTCTTTCTCCCTTCCTTTCTTCCTGCCCTCCTATGCACCCACACTCCAAATCATCACATCGCAACAAAACCACTGATTGCTCTCGGTGTAAGATTTATAAGAATTATATCACGGGCCATAAAATATGATAAAGAATTGCTTCCGAAACATAGCATTGTAAAATAAAAAGTACATACGGTAGAATATGTATATGATGTGATTTACAATACAGTTATAGAATATCAATAAATGAGAAAAATTATATCAATAGAAACTTGTAAACCCAAACTTTTCTTTTCACGATGATGACTTGGCGTAGTTACAATATACACTATGCAATAGACGATTATTGATAGATTTGTGAATAAAATATTAATAACCATAGCCAGAATACTACAATACACATTTTAATATACAGTATGCAGTACGCGTGAGAAACAAACAAACACACACGAACAAACGACTGAAACAGGCACTCAGACAAACAAATTTTTAACTATATAAATAACAAAATATCAAAATTAAAAACATTTATTTTAACCCCCCCCCCAAAAAAAAAAAAAAATTAACTCGAGCCTCTCTCCCTTCGACACGTCTAGGAGGTGATCTATAATATACAACATCCAGTAGACAATAGTAACAAACAAACAAGGACCCAAGAAAATAAACAACAAAATATCTAAAACAAACAAACAAAATAAGCCATCAAGAGAAAAAATTACCAATCAAAAAATCTAAAACGAAAAAATCTAAATCTAAATCTAAAACGAAATCCAATCTAAAACGAAAAAAAAAAAATTTAACCCAAGCCTCTCTCCCTTCGACAAGTCTTGGAAGTGATATATAATATACAATCTCCAGTAGACAATAGTAACAAACAAACAAGAAACCAAGAAAATCCGTCATTAAGAGAACAAATAACTAGTCAATTATCTAAAAAAAAAAATGTATTTAACCCAAGCATCTCTCCCTTCGACAGGTCTAGGAGGTGATACATAGTATGTAATATCTAATAGACAATAGTAACAAACAAGAAACCTAGAAAATAAAAACAACGTATTAAAAAAAAAAGTCATTAAGAGAACTAATAACTAGTCAAATATCTAAAAAAAAAAAAAAAAAAAAAAAAAAAAAAAAAAAAAAAAAATATTTAACCCGAGCCTCTCTCCCTCCGACAGTTCTGGGAAGTGATCAGCGACGAGCATGGCATCGACCCCGTAGGCCAGTACAGCGGAGAAACCGACATGCAGCTGGAGAGGATCAACGTATACTACAATGAGGCCTCTGGTACAATGGGAGGTGGGGAAGGAAGGGCTAATGTGTGCTTGAACCTGCCTGTCTGCCAGCCTGCCTGTCTGCCAGCCTGCCTGAAAGCCTGCATGCGAGCGGCAAGCAAGGAAGGGCGCCGACGGAAAGGAAAATGGGAATCGGCGATCTATTGATTTTTAATTTTTTGGACTAACTGAGCTTTTTTTTTATTTTTTATTTTTTTGTTTTTTTTTGTTTTTTGGTTACCTATGTTCTTTGTTTTTTTTTTTTTTTGTTTTACTTACATATATTTTTGTTTTGTTTGTCTGTTTTACTTACATATGTTTTGTTTTGTTTTGTTTTTTTGTTTGTCTGTTTCACTTACATATATTTTGTTTTGTTTTGTTTTTTATTTTTGGTTTATTTTCTTTCGGCTGTCTTATACAGTCTGTTTTATACAAATTTTCAAAGCCTTAGGGATGTTTTTTTTTCTCTTCTTTCTTTTTTTTTCTTTATTTACATCTTCGTCAACTTTCTATAGCTTTCCCAATACATAAAAATCTCAACTTCCTAAGATCTTTTAAAGCTCTAAAGTTTACGAAATCTCTGATTAGTCTTTCTTATTAAATCATTTTTTTTTGTGACCTACAAATTTAACTTTTTCAAATTTTATTTTATATTTTCGTTATTACTATTTCTTAAAAAACAAAAAACAGTGAGATTTTTTTTTTTTTTTTTTTTTACTTTCATTTTTTTTTTTTTATTATTACAGCTATTTTGGGAATTAAAAGGGATCTAAAAAAATTAAGATGATAATAGTTGTATTATGATATTAAAGGTTAAACTGGTAAATAGCCCAATTTTATTTTGAAATTATTGTAAATGAAGGAATGAATTAAGAACACTACGCTGAGCTACCTTTAAAAAAAAAAAATATTAGCAACTTTCATTTTTAATTTTGTAGTTTATGATTAATTTTCAATAAAAGTAGATAAATAAAAAGATAAGAAAGTAAATATTATTGTCATGTAAGTCAGCGATCTTAAAAAATATTTAGTTTATAAACATAAATCAACTTTCAATGATTCCGTATTTTATCATTCATTTTTTTTTTTTAGACATAAGTAGTTAAGTAAAAAAACAAAAAAACAAAAAAAAATTTGACCTCTCACCCCATTTCCCGAATTAAGCCACGCCCCCTTTTCCTCAGGCGGGAGGTACGTGCCGCGCGCCGTGCTAGTCGACCTCGAACCGGGCACGATGGAGGCCGTGCGCTCGGGCCCCGTCGGCAAGATCTTCCGCCCCGACAACTTCGTCTTCGGTCAGAGCGGCGCTGGTAAGTGGGCGGTGGGTGGTGGGCATATATATACATGTGTTTATATATATATTTTTTTCTTTTCAAATTTTATCTATTCCCATGGTCTGTAATAGTCTGCTAGTTTTTAATTTTCAAGTTAATAAAAGTAAGCGATTGTATTGCCTAATGTCACTGCCATTTTTGATAATAAATAAATGGATAAAATAAGATGAAATATATAGATAATTAAGTAACAAATGACTAAATGTTCTCTTCCTTTTCTCCTCTCTCCCTCTCCCCCCTTTCACCCAAAAAAATATTGTCTCCTCCCCGCTCTCTATTCCCAACGATCTTTCTCTCCCTCCCCTATGCCCTTTCTCCCTATTTCCAAATCACTCTCCCCCCTATCCCTTTTACCCTTTCTCTATCCTTCCATCGCCTCACCCCCCTTCCCCCGACCCCCTCTTCCTTTCCCTCTCCCTTTCTCCTCCTTCCCTCCCTACCCCCCCCCCTTTCATCTCACCCTCCCCTCTATTCCCCCCAACCTCCTCACACCCCTCCCTCCCTCCCCCTACTCTCTCTTTTATCCCCCTCCCCTTTATTCCCCCAACCCCTTCATCCCCCCCACCCTCCCCTCCCCTACCCTCTCTCTTATCCCCCCTCCCCCTTAATCCCCTTATCCCCCACCCTCCCTCTTCCCCCCACCCCCACCCTCCTCATCTCCTCCTCCCCCTCCCCCTCCTCCCACACCCTCCTTCCTCCCTCCTCCCTCCCCTCCCCCAGGCAACAACTGGGCCAAGGGTCACTACACGGAGGGCGCCGAGCTGGTCGACTCCGTGATGGACGTCATGAGGAAGGAGGCCGAGAACTGCGACTGCCTCCAGGGGTTCCAGCTCACGCACTCCCTCGGGGGGGGCACGGGCTCGGGCATGGGCACGCTCCTCATCTCCAAGATCAGGGAGGAATACCCCGACAGGATCATGAACACGTTCTCCGTCATACCGAGTCCTAAGGTAAGGGTTTGAGGGGGTTGGGGGGTTGGGGGTTGAGGGTGTGGGGTGGGGGGGTGGGGGGGGGGAGTGTGAAGGCGGATGGTTGTTAGAGGGAAGGGAAGAGGGGTGTCAGTGGATGTGGTAAAATCAGGTATGTGTATATAATAATAGATGAATAGATAAATAAATAACAAATAAATAAATAAATTAATATATATGTATATGTGTGTGTGTGTGTGTGTGTGTGTAAATGAATAGAAAAAATAAGTGTATATATACATATATGTATATATATTTATATATACACATATGATATATAATATATAGATTTAGATGTGTATATATATATATATATAGAGAGAGAGAGAGAGACAGAGTCAGAGACAGAGAATCAGACAGACAGAATAAGAGGAAAAAAAGAGACCAACTCAATGAAGACCGAAGCGTCTCGTCCACCGACTCGTGAAACCTCCCTACGAAACCTCCCATCCTCCTCAAAATAGACAAAAAATAATAATGATCCACTTGCAACATCCATCCATGTTTCCACCTCTCCACAGGTCTCAGACACGGTAGTGGAGCCATACAACGCCACGCTCTCAGTCCACCAGCTGGTCGAAAACACAGACGAGACCTTCTGCATAGATAACGAAGCCTTGTACGACATCTGCTTCAGAACTTTGAAACTCACCTCCCCTTCCTATGGCGACCTGAATCACCTTGTGTCCGTAAGTGTATAGGCCTATGAGTCTCGGTTTACGTGTTATTTAGGTGTTTGTTTTTGTCTAGTTTTTTTGTGTTTAGTTTGTTAGTTGCTCGGTTTAGGTGTTGTTATTGTTTATTGAGTTTATGGAGATTTTTCATGCTGGGATCCACTTGATGCTCAATTGTTTTTGTTTTGTTTTATTAAATATCTTGTGTGTTTTTTTTCTTTTAGAATTCGCACTGAGAGTAGTAATTATTTTGCCACTAGAATATGTATTATTATTAGTATTTGCATAAGTGTTCGTAATACTACCAGTGACAGTGTTAGTATAAGTACTGAAACTAGTATTAACCCATTCACGCCGGGTAAAAATGAACAAAAAATGGGGAAAATGCTGTGCTCATTTTTTATATTTTTTAATGAAATGTCTCTACACTAGATGGCTCTGCCTTACCTGATTTCATTTGGCGGGAAAATATATCTTTATTAGTGCTATGAATATCGATGGTTATTTTTATTATAAACATTATAATTACTATAATGTTATAAACATTAGTAACAGCAAAATAAGATAACGTAAGATATTTTCGTAAATTAAAGAAAAGGGTAAACAGACGACACAGGCAGTACAAGTACAAGTGTAGCCATCTATGTGTGAAAACAATTAAACAAGTAAACTCGCAGTGGGCCCGTCACGTATACGTGACACCCGGCGTGAATGGGTTAATCTGTATCAGTGATATTATGAGAAAAGGCACCATTATTAGATTTAGTATTTGCTCTAATACTAACATTACCGCTAGTTATAGTGCCAGTAATAACGTTTGTTATTGCATCACTGATATTGCATTTGCTATTGCTTTTATTATCGCTTTACCAATATCATTTTTTATTGCATCACTGACGAAATTTTGGTTATTACGTCACTGACAGTTCTTATCACTGCATTGCCGTTATAATTTTGCCACTGTATTACCATTATCAATGTTGTTATTTCTTCCCTTGACATTGCACTAACCCCTACTCTTCCCTTTTCTTATGTTAATACGCAATGTCCCTATCTCAGGTAACAATGTAGTATTGCCCTAACATTGATTTTCCCTTTTTCTTCTGTTAATACTCTACATCCCTATCGCAGGTAACGATGTCCGGGGTGACCACATGCCTCAGGTTCCCAGGCCAGCTCAACGCAGATCTCAGGAAGTTAGCAGTTAACATGGTACCTTTTCCTCGTCTTCACTTCTTCATGCCAGGCTTCGCACCTCTCACCTCCAGAGGGTAAGTTTTTGAGTGGGGAGGGGCGTGGGGACGAGGAGAGGAGGATGAGGGGAGGGAGTGGTCGAGAGGCGTGTCCGAGGGGAGGTTCTTTTAAGGTGGTGGGTTATGGAAATGGGGATGGAGGGGGGGGGGGTGAGGTATGGTTTTAAAGAAAGGGTGTTTTTGAACTGGTTGTTGTAGGATTTTTTTCTCTCTCTTTTTCTTAATGCTCCCCTCTCCACTTCTTTCAACCTCTCTCTGTCTGTCTGTCTGTCTGCCTCTCTCTCTGACCTCAAGAACAGAACTAGAAATTCTTTACATGAAATATATAGTTGAAATCCCCCCCCCCCCCATAGTACACTTCCACTTGCGACGCCTCCACTGATCCTCATAGATCATAAGAAAGTGTGCGAATTTCCATTGATGAAGAAAAACGGATTTGGTACTTTCTGGCAGTATAAAAGTATAAAAAGACATCATATATGGACAAACCCTATACAGACTATAATGGAGTCAGCAGGGTAGGCGACTAGGTAACGCGTAGGATATCGGTACACATCAATTTCGTATCACCACTGCAAAATGTGCAAGGCGCCCAAGTCGCATAATACACTTTACTTTGTTGCATGAAAACTGCAGCCTATCGATCAAATAGCACTATCTAGAATATAACCTTTTGGTCAAATTAACATTATCATTTACCTTGGTCTTGTCTGTGATATGTTTAGTAATATAATTTTTTTTTAAAGATCAGGTGAAATGTGAATAAGGCTAACACAACGACACAAGCCTTCATGCATGAACGTTTGACTGTTAGCCCTCTGCATAAAAAAGAAACACAGCCAGTTTAATGATTGCTTTGACATCAATGACATCTTACCCCTGTCTTTTTGCAGGGCACGTAAACTATTCTACCAATAAATCTTATCAAATCAAATCTCACTCACTTTTTTTCCCCTCTCTCCTTCCCTCAGATCTCAGAGTTACCGCGCCCTCACCGTCCCCGAACTCACCCAGCAGATGTTCGACAGTAAAAACATGATGACCGCCTGCGACCCTCGACACGGCCGCTACCTCACCGTGGCCGCTATCTTCAGAGGCCGCATGTCCATGAAGGAGGTGGATGAACAGATGCTCTCCGTTCAGAACAAGAATTCCAGGTGAGTTTTTATTGTTGTTCGATGGATTCCAGGTGAGTTTTTGTTGTTATTAGATGGATTCAAGGTGAGGATTTTGTTGTTATTAGATGGATTCCAGGTGAGGATTTTGTTGTTATTAGATGGATTCCAGGTGAGGATTTTGTTGTTATTAGATGGATTCAAGGTGAGTTTTTTGTTGTTATTAAAAGAATTCTAGGTGAGATTTTGTTGTTGTTAGATGGATTCCAGGTAAGTTCTTTGTAGTCATTAGATAGATTTTGTTAGAGAATTTATTAAGTTATTTATTGTTATACGTTATTTTCGTTGAAGAATTCTATGCGAGTTATTTATTCTCGTTGTTGCGTTCATTTAAGAAATTTCTCTAAGTAGTATGTCCTTTTGTTGCCATTTATCTTCGTCTTTTATCTTATTTTCCCCATCTCTTCTCATTTATTTCGTACATTACACTTACTTTTTTATGACTTTTATTTATTATCCTTATTTTTATCACTGTCTATTCACTGTCTCCGCCCGTTTTCCCTTCTTCCTTAAGACTTCTTCCTTCCTTCCTTTCCCTTCCCTCCTCCCCCCTCCTCCCCTTTTCACTCTCGTCTCGCTTCCCTCCCTCCTTCCCCTCCACTCCCTCCCTCCTCTCTCCTCATCTCCTTTCCCTTTTCACCTCCTTCCTTCCCTCCCTCCCCCCCTCCTTCTCCAGTCCCCTTTCCCTTACACTCCCTTCTCCTCCCTTCCTTATCTCCCCTTCTTTCTTCTCTCTTTCTTATCTTCCCTTCATTCTCTTCACCCAATCTCCTCCTTTGCCCCCCTTCCCATCCTTCCTCCTTCCTACTATCCTTTTCTTCTCCCCTTCTTTCCCTCCTTTCCTCCCTCCCTCTGCTCCCAACGCCTACGCTTCTTTCCTTCCTTCCTTTCCTATTTCTCCCCCTTCCTTCCCTCCTCTCCTTTCTCCCCCTACCTCTTCCCCCCCCCCCCACCCTCCTTCCCTCCCCCCAACACCCTTGCCTCCCCTCCTTCCTTATCTCCTTATTCTTATAAAAATATGTATGTAAAAAAGGTGAAAAAAGTTTATGTATGTAATTCATCATCTAAATCTTTATCATTATCTATTCACTATCTACGTCATTCCATTTATTATCATATTCTTGTATATTATTTTTCTTGCAATATCCACATGGATGCCTTTATCTATCTCCTTTATTACTTATTTTTATTATCTACATCTTTGTCATTTTTCTTCATTTCTATATCTTTTATTCTATCTTATTCTTAACTCTTTTTTCCTGCAGTTACTTCGGGGAATGGATCTATTATCTCCATTTTCACCCATATCTATTAAATATCTCCATCATTCCACTTATTACCTCTTTGTTATCATTTCTTCTTCTCTCTCCCTTTCGCAGTTACTTCGTGGAATGGATCCCCAATAACGTGAAAGTGGCAGTGTGCGACATTCCACCGCGAGGACTCAAGATGTCTGCCACTTTTATCGGAAACTCCACCGCTATTCAGGAGATTTTCAAGGTGCGTGTGGGAAGGAGGGAGGAAGGGAGGGGAGGAGGAGGGTGGGGGTGGGGTGGGGATAAGGAAGGGAGGGGGGGAGGTAAGGGTGTGGGAGGGAGGGGGGGAGGGGGAGAAGGGGAAAAGGAAGGCCTGCCACTCTTATCGGAAAATCCACCGCTATTCAGGTGATCTTCAAGGTGCGTGTGGGAGGGAGGGAGGAAAGGAGGAGGGGAGGAAGGAAGGTGGGAAAGGGGGGGATAAGGAAGGAAGGGGAGGAGGGTGGGGAAGAGGGAGGGGAGGAGGTATGGGTGTTGGAGGAAGGAGAGTGGGGGAGAAGGGGAAAGGAAGGAGGGGGGAGGAAGGAAGGGAGGAGGAGGGTGGGGAGGGGAAGGAGGGTGGGGGGGAAGGGGATAAGGAAGGAGGGGAGGCAAGGGTGTTGGGGGGAGGGAAGGAGGGTGGGGGGGGAAGAGGTAGGGGGAGAAAGGAAAGGAGGGAAGGAAGGGGGAGAAATAGGAAAGGAAGGAAGGAAAGAAGCGTAGGCGTTGGGAGCAGAGGGAGGGAGGAAAGGAGGGAAAGAAGGGGAGAAGAAAAGGATAGTAGGAAGGAGGAAGGATGGGAAGGGGGGGAAAGGAGGAGATTGGGTGAGGAGAATGAAGGGAAGATAAGAAAGAGAGAAGAAAGAAGGGGAGACAAGGAAGGGAGGAGAAGGGAGTGTAAGGGAAAGGGGACTGGAGAAGGAGGGGGGGAGGGAGGGAAGGAAGGAGGTGAAAAGGGAAAGGAGATGAGGAGAGAGGAGGGAGGGAGTGGAGGGGAATGAGGGAGGGAAGCGAGACGAGAGTGAAAAGGGGAGGAGGGGGGAGGAGGGAAGGGAAAGGAAGGAAGGAAGAAGTCTTAAGGAAGAAGGGAAAACGGGCGGAGGGAAGGAAAGGAAGGAAGGAAGGAAGGGGAAAGATAGGGGAGGGAGGGGGATAGTGAGGGAAGGCAGGGAGAGAATAAAAGGAGGAAGAAAGGGATGCTAAAGGAGGGAGAAGGGGAAAAGAGGGAAGAAGGAGCGAGAAGGAGGTAAGAGGGAGGGAGAAAGAGGCACGAAGCAGGGAGAGGGAGGGAAGAGAAAGGAAGAAAGAATGAAGAACGAGGGAAACGAGGGAAGAGGAAAGGAGGAGGAGGAAGGGCAGGTGAGAGAGGAGGGAAGAGGGAATAAGGAATATATATATATATATATATATATGTGTGTGTGTGTGTGTGTGTGTGTGTGTGTGTGTGTGTGTGTGTGTGTATGTATGTTTGTGTATATTTTTGTATATATTTATGCATATATGTACGTATAAGAGATATACACATATGCTCATTTCCCTCTCTCCTTCCCTTATTCGTATCACCCCTATCATTCTTTCTCTCTTTCTCATCTCCCCCAACAGCGCATTTCCGAGCAGTTCACAGCCATGTTCCGGCGAAAAGCTTTCCTCCACTGGTATACGGGCGAGGGCATGGACGAAATGGAGTTCACCGAAGCCGAGTCCAACATGAACGACTTGGTATCGGAGTATCAGCAGTACCAAGAAGCCACGGCAGAGGACGAGGATTTCTTAGACGAAGAGGAGGCTGAGGAGGAGCTCGTGGAGGAGCAGTAGATTAGGATGTTGAGTGAGAGGGAGAGATAGAGAGAAAAGAGGAGGAAAAAAGGAGAGAGAGTAGTAGGAGGATAAGAGGAGTGGGAGAGGAGGAAAACAGGAGAGAGAGAGAGAGAGAGAGAGAGAGAGAGAGAGAGAGAGAGAGAGAGAGAGAGAGAGAGAGAGAGAGAGAGAGAGAGAGAGAGAGAGAGAGAAGGAAAGGAGGAGAGAGGGAGAGATTGTAGGTGAGAATATGAGAGAGAGAAAGAGAAAGAAAGAAAGGGAGAGGATGTGAAAACGAGAAGGAAAAAAGGAGAAAGTTAAAAAGGGAAATAACGAGATCCTCGTTTCGGATGAGAGAGAAATAAAGAAAAGAAAAAAATAGGAAAGAAAGAAAGAGAGACAGATAGAGAGAGAATGTATCAAGGAATCTAGGTTGATTGTCTGCTTCTTGCAAGAAATAAACTTGATTTAATGAGTCGAAAGCAATGTATGCATTTGAAAGATCTTGATTTTAAGAGAATTTTGAGAGAAAGAGAGAGAGAGAGAAAGGATTTCCAAGAACTTAGATAATAATTTGATTTTGATTAAGAGTCATGAAAAACAAAATGATTATAAAATGTGGGAACGGATGGACACAAAATCGTTGTAATATAAAGGTGTAATGAAGAGAGAAATAAAGAGGTGGAATTTAATGAAAATAATGATAATAAATGAAGATACTTATTCTAGTCATTACTAATATGCACAGGACATATTTTGTAATGAGAACCAAGAGGTCATCATCACACATTCATCACTCAAAGTTTTTTTCTTTTTTTTATTACGGATTCATAACTTATTCTATTGCGTAACAAAGATCCAGTGAGTTGATATGATCTGATTAAAAAAAAAGAATAATAAAATGAAAAAAAATCAAGATCATATCATCAATTCTATAAAGTCCTTTTTGATTTCTTTTTTTGTATCATTTATATGCTGCTCTTTATACCGTACAGTACACGTGCCTTATACAAGAGTCCATAAAATGATCAAATTTAGCCAAGTTCCTAAATAAAAGAACTCAAAAATTATATATATTTTCTGTATTAGTTCCCGAATACTTAATTGTTTGACGATAGCATTCATAAGTCATCGTGTTTATGAAACAGAGTGAATTTCTGTCATGTCAAATACGCGCTCTTCGATCAACAGAAAATCATGTATTTCCAATGGCCTTAGTCACTGCTGAATGTATGACTGCTGAGTCACGTGTTGTATGCCCTGGTGCTCCGAGTCTAAAGATTGATTTTCTTTTTGTTTTTTTGTTTTTTTTTTCCTCAACTAGAATTATTTTGTTAATTTGGAATAAAAACACTTTGAAGTTCGCGTTGGTTTTATTGAATTCATTATATGTGAAGGAGGAAAGAAAATTGAAGATCTGTGAACCGGATTTCAGGATTTCTCCTTTGCAGTTCATAAGGTTTATAAGCCAAATGAAAACAATGTCATTATGAGACCTAGAGACTCGCTTACTGCCATACTTTGATTTCGTATTATACTTGTGTCGCTGTCTGATATCTATTCATATCTATCTATCTATCTACGCATTTGGAAGAAGATTCATACTAACAGAGATACTCTTAACGAACGAGACTTATGATATCTAGAGCAAGAAGGACACGCATACTAATAGTGATAACATAGCAATGATCGTGGTAATAATCAGATAATTATGATAATAAATGGTAATAATGATAATATATGGTAAGTGATGATAATAAGTGATAATGATAACAGTAAGACAATACAAATGATAACAATTTGCTCTGTCGATCGCCATGCTACCCACGCAGAGCGACAATTTTTCGGTGACAAAGCCAGCGGTATTTGTCGGTCGATGCTAATAAATACTTCAATCCAACCAGCGCCATCTGGAAACTGTTTCCGGAATTCTCAGCTTAAAGTTTGCTAGGCAATATAGATGATAAGATATATAGATAAGAGAGTTGAATACTCTATTATTAGGTATAGTGTTAACAGAGTTCCATGTCGCTTATATATGCCTTCATGATGAGCTGCTTGAGAACACAATCGGGGATATTTTCATTTTAACACCCACTTTCTCTCTCTCGCTCGCTCTTTGTCTCTCTCTAATTATATCAATAAATCTCCATCTCTCCCTTTCTCAAAAAGAAAGAAAATGAGAGAGAGAGAGAGAAAGAGAGACCCAGAAGCGTAGTGCGTATGCGAGACATAATAGAAA